GCAGCAGCCTTGGTCTGGTGTCTTCAGCCACACTCATCAGAGGCACTTTCCTGTTACAGACTAGAAGCATATCTTTTAGTGTAGGGGGAGGTTCTAGAGGAAGGCTCAAAATTGCCGCTCAACACTGTTCATTTGCATTTGTAAATGCCATTTCCTCTAAAACCTCTTCCCTTGCATTCTCTTTTTTAATTTGTATTTCAATAGCTCTAGTTAACCTTTCTACAAATTTCAAAAAAGGCTCTGATGGTAGCTGCTTGATCTTACTATAGGGCTCAAAAGGCCCCTCAGGTTGGAGGGAAAAGAATGCTTTTTCAGCTGCTTCTTTTACTTTCTCAAGTGTTTCTACAGGAATTACGGTGGCTTGGATTGAGGGTAAAGACCATTGGCCCTCACCAGAGAGATTCTCAATGGTCATTGGCATGCCATTGGTATCTTTCACTGTGTTTGGATCAGCATGCAAGCCTGGGAGAGCTTCTTTTAACAGTTGTTTCCATGCTAATTCCCATAATTTGAATTCTGTAGAGGTCATGAGGCATGAGAAAAGCTGTTTTAAATCATGTGGGACTACTACAGTCCTACTCAGTTCAGAATTTAAAAGGCCATGGAAGTGTGGGCTGTGTGGGCCATACTCCTTGTGTGATTTACAGATTTCTTTAATCAATTGTTGTCCAAAAGAGCTCCAATTAGCAGCTGGGGCTGCCCCTCCTTGTGCTGCAGGCTGATACGTAGCAGGAGAGAATGGCAAAGTGGGACCCTGTATTGGGTCTGAGGTTCCCTGCCCTGTATCCTTTGAATCGGAAGCAATGGGATCACAGGTACAGCTGTGAGGAAATGCAGTGGGCATGCCCCCACCCTGGGAACCGGGAGAGGGGGCGGGGATGCAGTAGGAACAGGGGGCGGGGACAGGGGGCTGGCAGGGGGCGGGGATACCGTGGGAACAGGGGGCGGGGACAGGGGGCTGGCAGGGGGCGGGGATACTGTGGGAACAGGGGGCGGGGACACCTGGTGACATCATGTCAGCAGACGCTCCCTGGGAGGAGTAGAGGGGCGGAGCTGAGGGTACAGCAGGTAAGGGAGGGGGAGGGAAGGTGTCACGAGGAACAGGAGGGGGATGGGGAAGGAATTTTGGGATGCTTAAGGGGATCTTGGGAAGATGACCAGGTTTGGGATGGTGCAACGTGACATCCTCCATCTTGTGAACCCCCTAGGGACTGGGGGCCATTTTGGGCATCACTACTCTCTGAAAAGCTAACACGTGCTCTGGGTTTCAGAGCAGGGGACACAGGGTTTTGGGAAAGGTTCCATGCAGTCTGGCCAGGGCCTTGTGGACAAAGAAACTCAGGCATTTTAAAGATCTCAGGGAGTCGACTTTCCAGAGAATAGGCAGAGTGTGCTCTCTTTAAAATACCAAGTTTTGGGGCAAGAGGTTTAGAGCTGGGAGAGGGAGAAACAGGGAGAGCAGAGGTACATTGCTTGACATTTGGCTTTTTCTCCAATTCCCTTTGTTTGAGCAAGGCTGTTCGAACTTGTAAACTCCAGAACACAAATTTAGCTGAAGATGTATTCCCAGACTGTCCCAAGGTTATCAATTCATGCCCTACTTTATCCCAAAATTGAATATTGTGGACTTCCTCAGAAGTTTGTGGGAAGTGTAGAAAAAGCCACCTTATAAACTGTTTCAATTTTCCTTTAGAGAACTTTACATTTCAACTGACTAAAATTCCAACAATATGACAATACACTACTTTTTGTGCTGAGCCCATTTTAGACGTAAATGGCACAGAACAAAGTCCTGCCGACCGAATACAAAGCCAAAATCAGCTACCGACTTCTAAAAAGACCACGGTTAAAAAGCGATAACGATCAGACGAAAGCTTTCACAATGCAGCTGTATATACTGCTTTTAAAACTGCCGCGGCAGCAGCAGCAGGGAATAGGAACCCGCCCCGACCACGTGGAGAGACAGACAAAGCCTCCCCTGCCCGGGAATGCAGCCTCCCCACACCGTGCAGCAAGCTGAAACGAGGGCCGCCCCGTGCCGCATGTAGAGAGCACTCCCTGTCCCCCCGCACCGAGAGCCGAGCACGCTGCGCTGCCCAGCCAGGGGGAGGGGCAGGCAGAGCCGTCCCACTCCTCCGAGCCGGCACCGCCAATTCTAAAAAGGGCAAAAACACGCCGCAGTGGGCTAAAGCTTAACAGGGTATCGCTTTCGCTCCGCAGGGCTGTGCAGCCTAAATGCAAGAGCAAAACGGAGCAGAACTCAGGGCAGAGACTGGTTTTTGAGCTTCTACCCCCACAAGGAGCAGAAATACTCACTGAAATTGAAGCTGTTGCTGGCAAAGTCAAGCAGGCTGGTCTCTTCACTTGAATAGGACCCCACGGGCAGGAGGGGCTCCCCTATTCTCCCCTGGAAAATTTGCTCACCAGAAAGGAGCTGCACTTTCCAGAGGTGCAGAGCGTTCCGCAAGGCTTCTTGTGGGTTCAGTCCCAAAGTCTCTCTGGAGAGCTATGCAACCGAAGCTCTACCATGGACGCTAAACTGCCTAAGTCTTTCCAAGGTTCTGAGATGACTTCTTGGGGCTGCAGATTCGATCAGCCTCCCATTGGGTGCCAAATATTAGAACAAAATCTCAATATTGCCAGGTGGAACGTGCCTGGGCTCGTCTGACCCTTGCTGCTGGGCCAAAGGCGGCAGCTGTGGTGTTTCACCTCAGAGACACCTTGGGCTGGCTGGAAGTTGCATTAGGCACCCTGAACACGTCCAGGCATGGTAGAAACTCAGTTTACCTCTGATGGAAAGGCTCCAGGCTAGGTGAAAAGGAAAAGGAGATGGATTCTGCAGAGGGTTTAATCCAGAGTTTTATCCCAGAGTCGCATTTGTCTGAATCTTGGTAACAGCTCCACAGAATCCCGACCCCATGGTCTCCGTGTCTTTTAAGCTCGGGGGCAGGGAAGGGACAGGTGAGCCACCAACCAGGTGGGAGGGGGGCAAGGCTCAGGGGACACTTGGACAGGCCAATGACCCCAGGGCTGAGGGGCATCTTTTGAACCTTTGCCAATCACACGATGCCCCTGCTGGAATGATAAGATTGACTGACAGCACTTAGCAGGGAGGCAAGGGGGAGAGGAAGGGAGAGGTTGGCACACCTGGGGGACTGGGAAAGGTGAAACAGGATATTGCTTCACACCGCAACAAGTCTGAACTTATGTCTAGTAAATAATATAATTCCTCTAGGCCCCCTGGCCAAGGAAATTGGCCAACTGAATACCACTTAAGAGAATTCAATTCTATTCCAAATTCCAAGACTAGCCTTCTGGGAAACTTAGTTATCCAGAAAACAGAGCAAATGGTATTGACTGGTTTTGTGAAGGGATGTGAAAACTGTTTAGGAAAAATTCTGCACAGGACCTACTTATTGCTATTCTTATTATCAAGAGAAAGGGCTCCGTGCAAAATTACACAGAATGCCCATTTTCTCCCTGAAGGAGAAAATTAAGAAGAGTGCTTCAGCATGTGTGCTAATGATTAACCATGCCACAGTTATGATATTTTGTATTATTGGACAGTCTTGGAATGTGTGGTGATGGAGAGCTTTGCCCTTAAAGGCAGACTTTTTGCACAGAACATGCTTCCTCTAGGGATCATTGGCATATGCACACACAGTGGAGCACTGTGCCACCAAGTGTGGTGTCTGTGGATTTCTGATTTGAACTGAAACTTGGAGGAAGCCCAAAACATTGACCATATGGTCATGCTGTAGGCTGCCCTTCCAGCATGGTAGGGCATAGCCAGGCACAGCTGGAGTCTATGCCAAGATTCTTTAAATCTACAAATTTTACTGGCTTCTGCATGCCATCCAGCAATGCTAAGTGCTTTGCAAAACACTCAACCAGGATTTTTTTTCTAACTCTTATTCAGGAAAAGATAAGCAAAGAGATGGTTGAGAAAATCCAGCTCTCCTGATTCTTAAACAGGTTTTGTCTATGAAAGAAACAATTTCCAGGAATCTGCTACCTAACAGATTTTTCCCCATTGTCTTCATGACCTATGCTCTTACATTGGAAGCCATTTTAATGTTTAATTTTTTTAATTTTTATTTTCGCTAATGTAACAATAAAATAAGTTGTAGTTGAGTAGCTTGGATTTTAAGGCCAGGGGAATAAATAAGGCTTTTTTTAAGGAATACCCGTAAGGGTATGATTTAATCAGTTACACCTTCTGAGTCACTCAACAGAATTCCAAGAGATGTGGAAATCATCTGGGGAAATAAAAGATGATGGTTCAGGCAGTGCATGCTTTGTATGCTAATTGCCATCATTCTTTTCTTTCCCTTTCCCCCACCATGTTTCAGCTTCATCTATGCCCCTTTGGATAAGGCAAGTGATCTCTTCACTTCCAGTGCTGTAATGGTCAGTTACACCTGCCTGGCTCTGGCCTTAGTTTGCCAGATCTGTGAATGCATGTATTTATCTGCTGTTTGTGTATGTATTTGGTAGGTCATTTTTTTGTGCATTATATGATATATTACATAATGTCCATGGGGCATAAGAGCCAAGCACCCAGAATTTAAATTTAAGAAGTGTCTTGACTGGCCACTTTTTAATTCTATGCTTACTGCAATTCCCAAACACACTGTTTTTTCACTGCAGGATATCATTGCCCTATATATTCCTAGGATTCCATCTAAGTCACTACAATTTGGATTTGATTGATGTATATTTAGCTTGGGAAAGTGGTCTGCAGCTTCAGTTTATGGTTATCCTCAGGCAACTTCTTATAATATTGCTGACCATTTCAATTCTGACATCAAGACACAGCTCAATCTATTCACTGCTTCTACTGTAGTATTAACTCATTTCCCAAAAGCAGTGTGCAGCCTTCTGGCTGAGTATTACTGATAGGAAAGCATATATCATGATATTGGTTAAAGTATCTAGAATTGTGTCCCAATTATATTTATTTTCCTTTCTTTTTTTTTTTATTCCCATTTCACCACCAGCTGCATTCAGACCAGGATAAAGGAGATGGATCACTTAAATACATCCTTTCTGGAGATGGAGCAGGAGACCTCTTCATTATCAATGAAAACACTGGTGACATCCAGGCCACAAAGAGACTAGACAGGGAAGAAAAGCCTGTATACATACTCCGTGCCCAGGCTATAAACAGAAGGACTGGAAGACCAGTGGAACCAGAATCTGAGTTCATCATTAAGATCCATGATATCAATGACAATGAGCCAATGTTCACAAAGGACGTTTACAATGCCAGCATTCCTGAAATGTCAGATGTTGGTAGGTGCTAATTAATAACTGGTTTCAGTGGCTGGTCTGGCTTCTTTCCATGGAGTTATTGAAGGGCCCAGACTTTACAAGTGTTGAATAGAGACATCTGCTGTTCGAGTCTGGACTAAAAGCACCTGAGACATTAAAAAAAAAATTAGAATCCAGGAAAATAGTGGCAACAGTTTGCTGGAATCAGAGGTGTCAGCTGGGTGAAACATGCTCCCTCTGTTGTACCACAAAAAAAATGCAAGTTAATACCATCTGGTTTAATGTCAATTAAATTGAGTCGAGCTCTGTTATGTGATACCTGCATGTTAGTAATATGGTATTTCATGGTCATTTGCGTCAATACTGTTCCTAGATCTGTTCAGCAGCCCTTATTTAGTTCAGGAAGGTAAACAAAATGATGGAAAAGGAGGTACAGAAGGGGTTGTACACATTTCTGTCACCCATTTGTTCTGCGATATGCCATTAACTTCCTATGACCTTTTTTATTCTTTCCATGCAAAAGACAAGAGCTCCAAAGTCCCTTGAAGTCCACTGAAATTTTTCTATTGATGTAAAATATATTGAGCTGTAAAAATCAATCAAGACAAGAAAAAAAAACAAAACTTATTTGGAAAATTATTTTAAGATGAGATCTTTTCCTGACAAGTTGACAGGTTTTGATTCTTAGGGAGGTCATTTTGATTTCTTTGTCAGAGAGCAATGGATGGTTAAATTCCAAGAAGTACATTTCTAATTTGAGATAATGTCCAGGGAGAGAAGCATTAATTAATCATGATCAAGAGTGAGATTAAAATAAAGCTCAAGCAATATGAAAATAAAGACTTTGGGGCATACACTCTCCCCTCCTTCATGGGACTTGTCACATGGATGAAAACTCATCTGATGAAGTGAGAACCTAATATTCACATTTTAATATGTGAACACTTTATTCACAAATTATTTTAAATGCCAAAATCTAAGCTAATTTTTAATGTTTCTTAACACCTTGCCTAAGAGTCAATACCATTTCTTTCTCTAGAAAACACCTGAAGAACCATAGTCACATTCTCACGTCAAATACTTTACGAGTATGAATAGATTTACAAAAGTATATTCTTGACCTAGATTCAAGGAATGCTGAATGCTTACAATATCTGAAGAGGGGTGCATTTCTGTTTCCTTCATGAAGGAAGGATCCACATATCCAATCAATAACTGTTTTTGAATGAGCTGAGAATAAGACATTTTGAGTTTATGTCCTTCATGAGCAGAGAAAATTCTATAAAATACGAATATTTCCGCCACGAACTTCCTGCCACAAGTCTGACCTGAACATGAATTGTTTTTTTCTCTACATCATAAACTGTCTTGTCCATGAAAAAAACCTATTAATTTTTGTTTTCTTTAACTTTTCATTGCAGGTACCTTTGTTGTGCAAGTCACTGCAACTGATGCCGATGATCCTACATATGGGAACAGTGCTAAAGTTGTCTACAGCATTCTCCAGGGACAACCATATTTCTCCGTCGAATCTGAGACAGGTGAGGGGACCTTATCTGTCATTCTGTGACAATGTCTGTAATTCAAAATGACACGCTAAGCCAAGCTAGGATAAATTACTAAACAAACTTTGAAAAGATTACATCTTACTGAGTGCAAAATCTGACAAATTTAATAGAGCGATACATCTGTAAACATGACACCTACATTATTTTAATCTTACCAGCAAAGTCTAATAAATACAATTAGTACTAGTTGTGAACTAGGTTTTAATCATTTTTAACAAGCAGTGGGTACAGAAACTGCAGTGGATGCTTAAATTAAACCAAATAGGTTGGCTTTTAGATGAAAGGGAGAAACAGGTGGGTGTGGAAAAAAGTGCTTAATCCTCATAGATCTTCATAATAGCTAAATTAAGACTGAGGGTTTGTTCAGGTGAGTTTTCTTTCTCCGTCTGCTTCTTCAAAACTTGTTTAAAGCAATTATAATTTCTTGCATCTGCAACATATCACTTTAATGCTAATTTTATGAAAGAAATCTTAATTAAGAGTAATGATAGAAGAGGTAAAATTGACTGTTGCGCTAAAGTAGAAGATCACAAATAGAATCCCAAAGTTCTGAGTTCTGTTTTTGGAAGATGTTTAAATTATATGCAGTGACTGGAATTTTTAATGGTCTGACTAACAGACAGCTTTGGAACCTGTGCATATATATTCTGTCTGACTGAATCTGGTGTACCATTGACTACCTGACTACATAGAAAATCTCTTCCCAAGCTTTTTGACTAGGTTTTTCAAGAAAAATCAAACTATCTCAAGAAACTCCTTCAGTGGAACATCCACTGTGTTATGTTTCTAGAAGCTAGGGAAATCGGTTCTCCACAGCATCCTTACAGGAAATAAATAGATTATCCCAGACAATTCATCAGGTTTAGGATTGTTTCTTAGATAAATCGTAGAGACTCAGGCAGGGAAAAAGAAGGAGAGACTATATGTCTCAAAGTGAAACTTGAGTTGAAAGGGTGTACACAATTCTGAGAAGAGGGAGAGCCAAGATCAAAGGGAGCTTCCCTTCAAGCATAAGGTATTAGATAACAGAAGCCAGGATTTTTGCACTGATGCACTCTTTCTGACATGGACAGTGCAGTGTGTACTCCTCCAGAGTTATAATAAGGATAGAGTAGCTGGGAGTTCACCAGTAATAAACTTCTATCAAGCGGTTTGTGTGGGGGACGGGAAGTTAAGTAAACCACAGTCTTGATCTTCCTGCCATGGAAATCAATTGCAGAACTCTTAGAGTGAAACATGTCTCTTTCAAAGCCACTGTGAATTTTGTCTTGGATTTCAGTACTTGAATTTCACCCCTTTTGCCTATAAAGGAGTCAGTTCTTACCTTGAGAGACCCAGTGAGAATGCAAACACTTTGCTTCATGGTAAATCTGAATGATTGAATTTCAGTAGTAGTTGGCCTTATAACTGTTATTTGTGCCTTTGAAGAAGGAAGTAACTGGCAAATCATTTCAATCAATGTATAAATAGAAGTATATATACTCAGGCATGTTTGAATGCTCATAATTTTCTTAATTAATTTCTTTTCTTCCATTTAATGTTGCTGCACTCTTCAATGGTGCTTTGCTGAAGTTAGCTTTACTTTTTTTTTTTTACCACATCTGTCAAAATAATGAACAGCCTTTTTCCAGTTCAGTGAGAGATTTTAGCATGGAACTGAAAGAGGGTAAATAGTTATGTAAAATAACATGGCTCACAAATAAGTAGAACATTTTTCTGTGGGTACCACTTATACTGTGTCTGTCACATAGGCAGGAGCCTGAGATGTGACATGACAAATCTGTAATTTAATGAACCATCTCATAACAGTAAATATTTGTACTGGGCAAAGTTTACTTACTATGCAGAGATTCTTTTTTGTTCTTTTAATAAGAATTTCCATCAAAGTCACTACCTGTGAACTCCCCACTCTTTAATTTTCATGTTTACAGGCATTATTAAAACTGCTTTACTGAACATGGACCGTGAAAACAGGGAGCAATACCAAGTGGTCATCCAGGCTAAAGACATGGGAGGCCAGATGGGCGGATTATCAGGAACCACCACCGTGAACATCACACTGACTGACGTCAATGACAATCCACCTCGCTTCCCCCAGAGTACGGAATATTTACATTCTATGTTCTAACACTAAAATGGACAAAAATGGTTCTTGTTTTGTTTTTTGTTCACCTTAGGTATTGTTTCTTGTATTGTGAGTTTACTGAGTATCAAACTTCCTTTAGGAAAGCAAAAGAGAGCACATAACTAAGCAATAGCATCATGCCAAGATTAATTGCAATAACTGGGAAATTAATATTTAATATTTTTACTCCAATTGCAACTGACAGTCTGAGAGGTGAATTAATGTGCAGAAGCAATTTCTTTTTTCCCTACTTTTTAAATAACTGATCAATGTAATCTGTATTTCTTGTTCACTATCTTTCAGACTTCGTGATTGATTGCATTTTAAGGTATTTGTTGTAATCTAATATATTGAAGTTTTGAAACAAATTTATTTAAGTATGCAAAAATATCCCAAGAACAATTCTATAGAAATGGGTATTTATAACAAGAAAGCATTTGCTGCAATGAACTTTCCTATATTATTTGCATACATAACCAAAAACACATACTTAAATATACCAGGTGTTTCTGCCTATTTACTTCCCCTCTCTCAAATAATTCAGTAGATATCTGTGTGATGCTTATGGGAATCAATTGCACAAGCTCTCTTAGAGAGTAATTTCTATTAATGACCATTCATTGCTGTAAGGGATTCAAAGTGATTCAGCTTTCATCCTCTTCTCTTTCCCTCTCTCTCTACTTCCTTCTTTCTCTCTCTATTTTTTTTTTTCCTTTTTACTTTGTCTAACCACTGCTCTCTGTATGATGTATGTGTGTATTGCAGTGTCAGTGTGTGTCAAAGTCAAGAGCAGCTGTTACAGAAAATAATTGCAGATACTATCAGACAAATCAGTGAGCTTTGGCAGTTAAGTCACTGGGAAAGTTATTGGAAGCAACTTGTCATTTAGGTTCAAAGTCTTTTCTTAGCTGTGGGCAAAGAGTTTCCATTTAAATTAGAGCAACTTAAGAAGAAATATAACACTCTGCACCCCATGAGTTAATTATACATCTCTGGACATAAGTGTCTTCAATGTAAAAAGCAAAGATACAGCTTCATAATGTCAACACTCCAAAAGCAGAGTTTTTTTCTGACAAAAATTCAATGTAGTACATTTTTAATGGGTATTTGAGCTGGATTCAGTTTTAGTGATACTAAGCTGCACTAGCTTCTGACAATTCTTAATATTTGCCCTTTGGCCTCAAGACATTTTTCATACACATTTCTGATACAGCCAACAGTGACCATGGGAGCACCCAGAAAGGGACATCTGTTGCTAAAGTTACATGTTTATAGCAAAGCAAAATGCCCATCCTCCGTATGAGCAAACAGGTTGGAAAATAAGTAAGTTTTACCCCCCTGAAAGTACGGCAGAAGCTGAAGGCTTTTGGCTGAGGAAGACCCAGTGACTTCCTAACTCACCTGCACACTCCCAGCGTGGACAGTGGGCTGAGAGATGGTGTCCAAAGCACCTTGAGGCTGATTAACCAGATTTCCCTGTCTGTCTGCTGTAGGCACATACCAGTTCAGAGCTCCCGAGTCAACGCCACTCGACTCCCCGGTTGGCAGGATAAAAGCTAATGATGCTGACGTGGATGAAAATGCAGAGATTGAATACAGCATCACTGAGGGGGACGGATACGATATGTTTGGAATTACCACAGACAAGGACACACAGGAAGGAATTATAACTGTGAAAAAGGTACAAATCTTGACATACTTCATCCCAGCCTCTACATATGTAAACTTTCTTTTATGCAAGCAATTGGTATCCTTCCTCTTATACCTTCTTTACTGAAGTAATGCACAAACTTTGGAGGACCTGAGAGAGTAAATTACCTAAGGAGTGGGGTACAACTGAGAAAAAATTCTGCAACCTGAATATACTCACAGGAAAACTCAAGGAAGCTCCACCATCCAACTGCGATTTTCTCCCTATGATGCTTACAGGTTTTGCTCACTTAGTAGTAGATACTGTGTTAAGACCACAGAAATAATTAGTACCACATTGACTATTTTTCCTTATAAGAGGGTGTTGATTCAGCAGCTATAATATATTAAAGTACATAGACAAATTTCTTTTGACTTACATTTTGTAAAATTTAATATATCTATCAGCATGCTTTTGCTTTAGAAAAAAAAAAATCAGTGCCTTGCGAGATCACAGTGGACATCATCTACTAGGTTGCACATTGGTTGTCAAAAAAGGTTTGAGAAATATTGTTTACAGTGGGTTATCAGGCAAACTTGATAAGGTTACAGATATCATCCTTCATCAATTCAAGTTCAGTCATCACTAGATAGACATTGTGTAGATTTTCCAAACATGCACTTGATTGTTGATATCAGTACGACACCTGTCATTACTTGTTTTTTAGGAGATGCCTTCCAGGGTCTGATTATGATATCAGTCTAACTCTGTTTGTATTTCTGTCTGTTGCTGACAGAAGCTGTGAATTTTCTACAATGTAATGGAAAAATGGGGTGACTACTCTCTCCCCACATTTCTCCAAGTAGTAACAAAGAGTCTCTAAACGCTGTTTCTTTGTAGTTTTAAGGGTGTGTGCTATAGTCATAGCCTATCATGAAATCATGTTTGGCTTTGTGAGTGGTCCTGCATATCCAGACACTAGATGCCACAGTGTTTCATTTCTGTGATGGAATGCCAGTATCTAAACAAGCAACACCTAAAAAATCTTCCCTCCTTTAGTGTGTGGTGCCTATGGGCAGGAAATAGATAATAAATCATCAAATGCCAAAAATGACAGAATAACTGGCATGAAGAGTTAAAGCTGTATGAGAAAATTGCTTGATGTTTAGGAGTTCCAGGCATAGAATTCCTTGAAAAAAGTGGTTTTCTTCCTAATGTATTATCTGGGCATATAGCCCTTTCTCCTTTCTGCTGGCATTTTAATTCCAGTTCAGGCTCCCGTTATCTAGCACAGGCCTCTCCATGACTTCCCACCATTCACCCTGCTCATCTGGCTGAGAATCACAGCAATCTCTACAGACTTCCTAAACTTTTTTTTTTCCCTTCCCAGGCACTGGATTTCGAAAGCAAAAACTTGTATATTCTCAAAGTGGAAGCTACCAACACTCATGTGGACCCTCGATTCCTGTACCTGGGGCCATTCAAGGACTCAGCTACAGTCAGAATTCAGGTGGAGGATGTAGATGAACCCCCCATGTTCAGCAGACCAGCATACATAATGGAAGTGAAAGAAGATGTTCCATTAAACAGTGTAATAGGAACAGTAACTGCTCAGGATCCAGATGCTGCCAAGAATCCTGTCAAGTAAGCATATACTACTTCAACTTGCCTGTAAATTTTTTACAGCCTTGATTATGCTTTTATCATGTCAGCACACACAAAAAAATCCTCACTTGTAACATCGTGAATTCTAGGGCATGCTTGAATATGGGGTATTGTACATGGTAAATGATCTCATGCTTGAACATATTTAGGTATGTGTGAATGTGTCTGCATGGCCTCTGCATCTTGAATTATATCCTAATCTCTTTAGTAACTAATCTATGTGGTTATTTCTACCATGAAAAAATTTACTGTAAAGAGACCACTGAGAAAATCTTAGTGTTTTCCTTCCACCTTTAACATTTTCTAGTGCAATGCAGTGCATCCTCTTGGATATATGACAGGGGGGTGATCCAACAGCCTTTTCTTCTTCTGTCCAGACCTGCTTAACAGAGGCCACAGTCATCTTTTCTAAATCACAAGTAGAAATGCCTCAAAATCAGCTCATGTGCACACCCAGGCTCTGATCTCACCTGTATCAGTGCAAGGCTTGTAAGATAAGAGTCAGTCTCATGAGCTGCATAAATTAAACTTGCCATGAATCAATAAACTGTTCTTAGAGGAAGTGGAGGAAATGTTAAGGTTGGAGTAGCTATACCTAAGTCTTTTTTTTTTGTCAATTGTGTATTGTTTCAGTGCGTACTGGAGTACTTAAGTCATACTGGATAGAGTATTAAAGAACTTTTAAATATTTGTGTTCTTTAATTAAAGTTCATTTCTACTGTCAAGGCAGCAAGAGGAGGAATCAAAAAGTGCAGCAGTATTAAATCCAGGTCAATTTTCAGCAGGTTTTTGAGTTGGGCACCTCGGAAATTCAATAGTAGCCTTTGATCAAAATAGAACAGTGCATGTTTAATAAAAATTTAGTCCATCAATACTTTACACTTGTGTGAACAATTATCTTTCATCAAGATTTTTTACAGTAATGAGTAAGTTTTAAGCTCTTAGCTCATCTTGTGAGAGCAGTAAATATTTTAATGTAAATTTCCTAGATGAACAAGCTAAATCTAAAATGTTTCTGGCAGAAACTATCTTCAGTTTGCATAGCATGACCTATACATGAATTCTTCTTCAAGACTAAGCCTTCCAACTTTAATTAAAGTTTTCTTAAATTTCTATCCGGACATGCAGCAATTCTCTGGCATTCTGGGCCAGCAGAGCATAGTCACTTAAAGAGCAGTATAATGTTTTGCTGACTTTGGTGAAGCCCCAGGACAAAATGAACATCTTCCGTAGCACATTTTTATGGGCATGGGCATGCTAGCATGAAGATGAAAAATTGATTGGGGTGACACCCAGGCCCCTTGCAGTCTTCATAGGAACCTGCTTTTTTTTATCTAATGGCACCGGAGAGTAAGGGGAGTGCTTCCCTCCTTCCCTGTGGTGATAACTACAACCATTTGCATTTCACACCAGCACCAACTCCTAATTATAAGTGATTTACAGTGGTTAGGGACTATGCTGTTCATTGTTGAGTACTGCCTGCCGGCTCTTTGCTATTAATTGAATGTGTGTGCTAAAACTTCTCTAACTTTCAAAGGGCACTTCTTTAATACCGTGTAAGTACTTTGCATATTTTAGTATCAGATAGTTATTGAGCAAAATTTAGCAGAAGTGTCAAAACTGATGCAGTGCAGCAGAAAGCTTGTCTACTTTTTACCTTAATAGCATGCAACAGCCAAGTGCAAGGAGAAGAAAAATAAAAATCAGAAAGAGGTTAGAATAATAGAAATAAACATAGCAAGAAAAAACATGAAAATCAGTAGGAGAGAAAGGAAATCAGCAGAGAGCAGTAGCCTGAGAGATGTTAACTTGCAATAAATGTAATTTTATGGTGCTAATATCTTGGGTATCTGCTAGAATTTAGGGGCATGGGTTGAGTCTGCATCTTTTTGACAGGGTAATTTTTTTTTTTTCTATCATGCAATAGAGATGCTAAATCCGATTTTCACTCTGAGCTTCGGGGAAGATGCAATTAGACTGTATATATATGACTTGTCACTTGCTTGTCAATTTTTCTTGACAGTTAAAAATAAAATCTTTAGACACTTGATATTACAATGAAAACCTTCCATTTTCTCCTCTACTCGAGTGAAGATTTCTCTTCTTAAACAAACTGAGCCCTAACTCCGTTAGATGAAAGCCACTTTGATCTTCCATTAAAGGAAACCTTCACAATATCATTATGAAAATGCATTATGAAAAATTCACACACACATCCCTTCCTGACCCACAAATCTTCCTGACTTGTGGTTGCATTAGACAGCAAGCTGCTGAGCATCAGAAGACAATGAAGCGATAGCAAAATATGAAGTGGATATCTGCCCTGGTTGTAAGGCTGCAGAACCATTTGTGACCTGTGTATTGCCAGAGCTAAATTGCATCAGGCTAAGTCTTCTAAGTTTTGCTCTGATATGACATTGAGAAAATACAAAAATACACCAGTACATGTTTGGCTATATTTGAATATATGTCCAAGTATAGTAACATTAAGATGCTCCTGAGTAGCACTCTACAGTCCAGAGGTGTTATAAAAGTTTTGCATTCTACTTGTGTTTGATCTACACATAAATAATATGAACCTCTGCATACTGATTTAAAAAAAAACAATGCTGAAACTGGCACTGCTGTATTGTACATCAGATCTTTTTAAATTGCTAGCTGAGTTTTTTTGCTATAGTAACTCCTCAGAGGCATAATGAAGTTCATCAGTCACTGGAACTGTCTTCCCGCTGTGATTTGATTTACTAAAGTACCCCAGATGAGAATGATCTGCAAACAAATGTAAGGCTAAATTTTGTTTGTGTATTTTACTGACAACATATTTGCATGTGTTAGATTCTCTCTTTTACCCTTCCCTTCTTCCTGTTGCGTGCAAGGAGAGACTGGAGTCTTCAAAGATACTTTTTAACTTCCTAGCTTGTCAATTCCTCAGAGCTTGAAAGAGATGAAGTCCTGAAGTCTGACAAATACACACCCGTAATTTCATTAAATAAATGTAAAAATTAGTTTGATGTTGTCTACTTAATTCTTACTAGGTTGTGATCCAGAAGTCAGAATCAGCACCAACTCAAGATAATTAAAAATCCTTGATCAAAAGAGACTGGATTATGCAAACTGAGAAACAGAAGTGACAGTCTAGCTTATTAATATCATCCTTCTAGAGCAGATTTAATGGTATAATTGGAATATACTTTAAATGCACTGACCTTGTATGTATTTTCTTTGGGATATGAAGAAATAAAATTAACATTACATTAAGAAACTGTCTCTGCTGGGTTGTTTTTTTTATGAGTTTGAGTTTCCACTTTACAAATGACTGAATATACCTATGGCTTTACAAATACTTGTACTTTAAAATCCTTAATATCTTGATGAGGAAGAAGCCCTCGGTGTTACAGCTCTGGTAATCTTAGAAAAAGTCCAGAACCTCTTTTTTCTTCCAGATACTGTACCACAGACTGAATTTGGAAAATCTTTCAAAGATAGTGATTGCAATATACCAAGGCATTAAAATGTGCTAAGATAGTAAGATATTTTAAGTGCATTCAAAATATGAAGCTGGAGTGAGAGTAAAATTGAAGCAAAAACTCCCAATGAACAGACAGCTCATGCCTAAAGCTAGTTGCTTATTTGAATGTCTTGCTGAATAAGAGTTTGAAACATAGTATTACAGTTAGCTGGAACAGCTAAACTGTGGAAAATCCTGATATTTCATTTCAAAGAAGAATACAGAATCTAGATTTAACTGCAAAATGGAAATACCAAAGTATTTCAGCTGAAAGGTGTGGAAATGAGCTACAGAATATCTGAAAATAATTGAATTCACAAGATACCAACATAATATTATATAAAAGCCCGAATGAATGAAAGTTAAAATGAAATGTTTACCATATCAAATACTTAGTCAAAATATAAAAGAGTCAGACCAGTTTGTACAAACTCATTCCCATTACATATTTCAGCCAAGTCAACAATTTCACACGTGCTGTTTAGATTTAGACAAAGCAGCACTTTTCAAGCTGATGGTAACGTCACAGTGCTACATAAAAGAACTAAGTTAGTGACACCACAGCTGACTTCCTGCAGCCAAAATTGCAGTTAGCTGTCAGTGAAGTGACAGCAATGAATGAAAACTAAATCTGAACTCCCGAATAATTAGCAAAGTGTGCCCATGCAAGTCCTGCCAAAATATGTTAGTTTTTTGTACTAGTACCTTTGAATGTCATTTGGGTGTTCCCTAAGAATCACCATGGAAAAAGAAAAACAGTTTAGTGCAAATAAGTAATATTTGCCATTGTTTTGTTTAGAAAGGTAGGCTTCACTTAAATTCTTATTTTGGAATAAGACCTAATAAGTCTAATTTGCTGTAGGCATTATATCCCACATTTTATTTACAAAGAATAAAGTTACAAGATAATTAACAAGTTAGTGAATTTTAAAATTTTGGCATAATCACATTTCAGCTATTTTCTTCTAGTCCTTCTTTCATGCAAGATGTTTCTCAGAATTTAAGAGACACTGCACAGGCACTCTGTAGGAAATCTGTGCAGAATGGAGGACGTGTCTTGCAGCTGCTTCTAGGGCAGAGCAGGGGAGAAAAATTCTTCTCCAGCCTCTGCATTCCCCTGAATTCTGTGGTGTCAATGCCATTCGCTGGCCCAGTTTTCATCTGACTGCTTACCAGCTCAGCTGTTGTCTTCACCCTTGTGTGGACACGAGGGACAGCAGTAGCTGCCTTGTCTCCATCGATGTGGCGTGCAAGGAGACCAAGGGAACAGACTGGGCTTCCAAAGGATCTGTCCTGCATTGTACATGAGCACACAGTTGGGCTGCAAACAGGAGCAGAATAATGCAATTGCATTCTTGCTTTGGCAACATCACAGGCATATTTCTGTCAAAACCCTCCATAATTTATGCAAGAATTTTCCCTTCAGGAGAGATGAAACCAAGTCACAGCATTTGGATCAAGGTGGAAGTGCTCTCTCCCGGGAATTGGAGAGTTCTACTTTTAAACTTGGATTTAGTTCAGCTGAAAAAGCAAAAGATCAGATCGAAAATTTGAATCTGTATTTAGACTCTGAGCTCATCCAGAGCTTGTTAGCATTCCTTTTCACACATAGATACCATCAAGCAGGGCTGAGAATGTTAGTTTTAATGAGTTACAACAAATCATTTTGTGATATGTGGAATAATGAATCTCTGTTCTGTGCTGACTTGGTTTGGGAGGGCAACCTTTTTAAATGCTGAAAAGTGAAAAGTACAAATGCGCTCCAGCTGTCACATTTTGTATCAGAAATGATTTGGAACAGTTGAGATATCAATCCATAAAAAGAAGGTTTTATAAAGGAAAAGCCAACTCAGCCTTAAAATAAACTTCGTATCTTTCAGGGCACAGACTTCACATTTTTCACTAAAAACAAAGCTTTGATGATTCTCAGAGGTATGTAAATTCCACAGCAATTCATTTATTCAGTGACAATACTCCACCTTCTAAATCAAACCTCCAATGTGTCATTATCCAGTAGCTCAGAACTAGCTCTTTGTGTGAATACATAAAGACTCTGAAGCCTGTGCTGAAAACAAAAGGAAACCCCATTTACTAGCTGTTTGATGTCTAGTCTTAGAAAATGGTTTTAGAACATAGAAATTAAAAGGAAAGCATTCCTCTAACCCCTGTCTCTGTATTTGCAGGTACTCTGTAGATCGTCACACTGATATGGACAGAGTATTCAACATCAATTCAGGAAATGGTTCGATATTCACTTCCAAACCCCTTGACCGGGAAACACTGCTGTGGCACAACATTACAGTAATAGCAGCAGAGATCAGTAAGTTAAAGCTAAATATGACTCCTGTCCCTGCTGTAATGAATTTAGCCTTCTAGCTGAGTGTGTGGAAAGCGCAGCTGGGCACATGTCAGGTTTATGGATAGCCCACTCAATACTAATGAAGAAGCAGTAACTCTGCAAGAGGTCGTCTGCAGTTTTGTGTTTATTAGGGACACAGTTCATGAAGAGGTAACGGAGCAGGGAGAAAAGGTGGCAGTTCTGTGTTCTCTGATCATTATAGCCACTTTACATTTTGAACGTGGTCATTGAATTCTGAAACTGGTATGCAGCAAGACAGGTGATTTAAAGCCAAAGTGCATTCCTTGGCTGAATTCAGTCTCATTCAGGCTGGATGTTTTCAAATAAGGCTAAAGTGGCTTGGTTGAGCTGGGTGCTCGGATCTAAGTCCTTTTACGAATCTCCATTTTTTACTTTGTGCAAATCTTTTGAAATTACAAGCTGCAGCTACAAATCAGTCTGTCACTTAGTTTAGGATTGTTCCAAAGTATTGATCTTGTGATAACACTAGACATGCTGATTTTAGAAGTCGAAATGCCAGGGGTCTAAGATAAAGACATATGTTCAAGATGGCCTTAATAAACAATCCACTTTGTTTTAATTCATTATCTATAAGTACATCACATGCTCGAATATCTGGAAATGCAATTCTATTTGCTTTTGCAGAGTCACAGTGCCTATGTTTATGGTGGAATGGTAGATAAGTTTAATATAAACACCAGTTCTGTGACTGTTACAATGCCTCTCTGCAACCCAGAGGCTAAAAAGCTTTTGATTTTTCTGAGACAATATAAGCTCTACTTTCTTTTTTGTATGTGTGTATGGCTCAATTACCTGCTTAACAGTGAGATGAGTATAAAAAGCTCGAAATTACTTGACTCAACTTTCTTTATTGTGTAAGTCTTCTTTAAAACTGAAAACCAATATAAAATGATGTTATTGAGGCAAGCAAATGGGGTTGTATGAAGAAGTAGTGGGTATGAGCCTATAGGAATGACAGGACATTAATAAATTTCTCCCTCTCATGAAAGTTTGCACCTTCTAATGCTAGGTATGGGATTTCAGCACACCAAACACTGAATGTTAGTCATGTGGCTGTGTTTCTGTTAAGTTCTTGAAGGTGGGTTCTAGGGTCAAAATTTGTACACTATAGGCAGCTCCTGGGTAGAGCAGAAGAGAAAAATACATGCCTAAAAAGGAAAGAATAGCAAGAACATTTAGCATTGACAATAGGAAGAACACTTGCATTGACCCCAGCTGGCTGAAATAACATGCAGTATAGAAAACTGTCCAAAAACCAGCTTGGCATTGTATAGGAAGTACTCAATTGGTTTCTTGCATCCTCCCCTAAGCACAGACCTTCTACTGCACCAAACCTTCTCAGCTTAACCTCTTGTGTCTGACACAGGCTTCTGTCTTAATTACCATTCCTCTTTAGTCTGAATCCTTTCAGGCTGCCCCAAACCTGCTTCCCAGGGTGTGCTTTACACCCTTTAAGCCTAGACAAAATTTGGAATACTAGGGTATATGTCTTCCAAAGGCTTTTTTTTTTTTTTTTTTTTGTTGAAATGTACTTTTATGATCCAGGACACTTCACTAATTTTAGTCTCAAGAGACTAGACTGGAAAAGCACCACTGCTTATTGTTCCTGGCAAGCCCAGAAATTTCTAGCAAGGCTACTTAAAGTCCCATTCCACTAAATTCCATAGAATCACTTGTTACTCTCAGTGACATTATCTCATCAAGCTCCAACTATATTTCACTGAAGTAATCTAAAAAATATCTAGTCAGGTTATAGGCAGGATATGCCTTCAAATGGGTGGGTGCTCCCTTTGATATATGAAAAAAGTAATTATAAAGTCATAAAGAGAAACACCGTTCAGTGATGACTGCTCTTGATTTGATTTTACAGTTAAAAAAAATACAGAAGTTGTTTTGCCTTTGTCTAGAATTGTCAGTAAGTGTAGATTGCTCCAGTTTTAAATGCTCTCCTTTTTCACCAGTATGAGCTGCAGTTGCTCAGCAGCCCAGAGAATCAATCATGCTGTGACTGCTGCACATAAGCAGTTGGTGAAATCCCAGGTCAGTACATCTGCCACAGCCAGACAGCAAACTGGCATTAAAACAGGGGACACAGGGCTAGTGAGCCACAGCTGCAGAATTACAGCTGATTTACCTAAGACAATTCCCAGAGTGTTTTTAAATATTTGCTGCTTAACACTTATGGCTAAGTCAAACATTGTCAGGACTATGAGGCTGTATTCTGAAAAAAAATCACCTCTGTAAAAGTTTTATTGCTGGCTCAGCAGAAAGCATATCCCTATGCAAAGAAATAGATTTAAGCACCTTGTAGAGTCTGTGGAGATATAGAGCCCATCAGTAATTAAGGGATAATGCTAACAAATGAACCGACATGAATTAATTTGCACAAATAATTTGAAAGATGATGACACAAAATATCCAAAAAAACAAAGACTTGAAGATGTATATAGATTTCCATTAAATCAGAGAAGAGGAATATGTTCTTGGAGCCTAGAGTTTATATCAAGCTTCTGTTTATTACAGTATGATTTTAAATTGTGAGAACCTTAAGCACCTAGAAGTAAAATGAAAATATGTATGTTTAGGTTTAAAAAGCAGGAAACAAAACAATTCTCCGTCTTTAGAGGAAAAGAAACATGTTTGTCAATATACTTGAATGTATTTGTTTGCAAAGTGTGCCCTACAAAATAGTCTTGCCAATAGTCCTGTGACCTCAAATGAATGCCTTTGATTTCTGCCTGTTATAAAAATTCAACTCTTTTATTTATGTATTTTAGCAAAGAATTCAGCTCACTCCATATTATACATAAACTGTTATTTTATACATCAAATGAATTTAGCCCAATGGCTGATATTAGAAAGAGGTTTATGCCTAATGGAATCATATAAACTTCAATGGGACTATGGAGCCTTAAAGCACAATATTTTGTCCAAATGACTGAGCTCCGTAATACAAATAAGCAATGCCAATTTTGGAGCAAGCATTTTCACATTTGTGAAAGGATGATAAACACATTAATAGGACTTTTATTAAAGTCAACAAGCTACTATAATGAATAAATAGAAGTTGCTATAATGAATAAATATAATAATAAAACCAGCAAGCTACCATAATGAATGCTTGTAGAAGAATATAGAGTCTTAGATCTGCTATATTTTATTGCACTATTTTTTCATTTGAATGATAGGTTAAAATGCATTGATAAACCATATTAACACGGGTAGGAGATCAACATAGGAAATTCAGTATGAACCCTCATGTAGGAGAGGGGAAGGTACTTATTTTAAAATAAATTATCTCAATCACACTCTTTTCCTCATATTTCTCTCTCACACATTCCTATACCCACATAATCCTAGGTGGATATTGTGTGATATGCAGCACAAAGGAGACAGATCAATGGCAGTGTCTCTTGGATTTCTTTCAATTAGGGATGACAAATTTCTTTGGGACCAGATCTTGTACATTTTAGGAGTCAGTGGTTGTTATGGTGTGACTTTTTGCCTCAGAATCTTGCCTATTTCACCATGCATGGCCCTAGGCAAGGTTACTGTTGCTGCTTTTCTTCCTTATTCTCTGTGTCATTTTGACTTAAGCCTGTCTCCTCCCAGCAGGAAAAGGAATGGTCTATACAGTATGGTGTGCTTTATTTGGTGTTTTTATTTTTATCCAGAAAGATGACAGTATTTTCACTAATATTCTGTGCTCAGGAATATCTTTGTCAATTTCAATCTCTTGGCACTATGCAGTCCTTATAGGTTAAAAAAAGATTGTTTACATAGGGGGGGGTCTGCAGGTTCTGTATAGAGTTTATGTTTTTCTGCAGCTGATCCACTTCAGTATTTACTCTAGAACATCAGACAAAACAATTCACAACAGGTTAGAAAGCATCTGTGATCACAGCTGCAGTTATTATATTATTTCTATAAAATAATGATAATCATGGTAGCTTAAGGAACTGTGCCACAAGATTTGTAGGGCACAGAGTACCATATTTAACAAGTGGAGAATTAAAAACCCACTCAATCTCATCCTCATGACTTTTCCTGTTAGAGAGCTAAGGAAGGGAATATGTTCTAAATACTTCACTGCCACCAAACAGTATCAGTCAGGCTAATAAATAGATTTAATTTAGTTCCAGTATTATATTTACGTATATCACACATACATTCATAATCACACTTGGAACGATCAAAGGAATTTATAAATCCTGGACTCCTACTCCATCATAACTCTGTATTTACACAGAATTAGAGTAATGATACTACATTCATCCCATAACACACTCACCAGAAATCAACAGAATGTAAGTGAAGTGCTCTGAGTGAGAAGAATTGAACCACCAAGTCTGTCCTTTTCTTCCACTGCACTGAGTCAGTAACTGGGCTAAATAAAATCTCCATTCTGGTTTTGTCATTTCAGACAACCCCAAACAAAGCAGCCGTGTCCCTGTGTTCATTAAGGTCTTGGATGTAAATGACAACGCTCCAGAGTTTGCCATGTTTTACGAGACTTTCGTCTGCGAAAACGCAAAGGCAGAACAGGTGTGTTGCCTGCTCGTACTCAGAAAATATTCCATATTAAATGAGTTTTGCTGCTACTCTTGCATTACCTCATCAAGCGGTGTACTTTGCATTGCATCAAACTTAATTGCAAAATTAAACAGTGACTGCACATTATCTGATTTCACTCAGTATTCTTCCAGCTGACATGATGGCATGTTTTTGAATGTTATTTCCTGTACTGCACCTTGTTGCCCCTGATTTATTTTCATTCTTTCATCCTTTGCTTTATCTAGGCACCTCCACTGTCTCCTTCAAAAACAATTTCATGTCTGTAAATGTTACAGGTTCTGTCTGTGATACAAGTATATCCTGTTAGATAGCTCTCATCTACCACTCCTATTGTGAAGCAGCTCAAAGTTGCAGATGATTTGGAAAATTCAGCCAAACTATTTCTGTGACATGACATTTGGGTAGATAAACATAAATTCAGCTTGGACTGTCTCACCTTTCATCTCTATTCCTTGTCACATGCAAAGATTTCCTACCCATCTGCAGTGGCATTAACCCAAGCCTTCTGGTGAAATCAACATGATTTTCCTGCCAGCTTTCAAAATCATTATGTCACTCCCTGATGGCATAGGATATAATAGTATGGTGACCCCAAACAGCATCAGCAGCATGTGGATGACTTTTCTTGAGCTCACCATAGCAACATCACCTGCCTTGAAGCAGAATAAAAAATTAATACAAAAGATTGCTTTTACAGTTTTTTTAGAGTATATAAATAAATATAAAGTTCACTGACTTAGGAGATAATTTTGTTCTTATTGTTTCAGCTGATACAAACATTAAGTGCTGTTGATAAAGATGACTCTTACAATGGACATCAGTTTTCATTCTCCTTAGCTCCCGAGGCAGCCAGCAGCTCAAACTTTACACTACAGGACAACAGAGGTGAATTTCTAGGAAGACTTTTCTTTATTATCTTATCCTTGCTTTCAGTCTTCAGATAAAGATTTAATGCCTGCTTTGTGTTTCCAGACAACACAGCAGGGATTTTCACTCGAAAAACCAGATATAACCGGCATGAAACAAGTACCTACTTCCTGCCAGTGGTAATATCAGACAATGATTACCCCATCCAGAGCAGCACTGAAACAGTGACCATTCGAGTGTGTGCTTGTGACCATCGAGGGAAGATGCTGTCCTGTAATGCAGAAGCCTTGATTCATCCTACTGGTCTTAGCACTGGCGCTCTCATTGCCATTCTTCTCTGCATCATTATATTACTTGGTAAGTAACTCAGGGACATTTTGTTCCTTTCATGGTCATTTTGCATTGCTGTAATGATTATTCCAAGACTAGGACAAAGGAAAAGTAAAGATATCATTGTCTTATCCTGTACATATGTTACTGTATTTCTTCTTTTGAGGGCTGCTACAGATGGGGTGCATAGGGCACAACCAATCTAACTTTAGTTATCTGAAAGTTAACGATATATGAGGGACAGGAGACAGCTGGGCTCTACACTCTGTTCAATGGAAAGAGACACCTGTAGAGAGACATCTATTCCATCCCATCCCATCCCATCCCATCCCATCCCATCCCATCCCATCCCATCCCATCCCATCCTTTATTGGTATCTGAGGAGGACCAGACACATTACTCACAACCCTCTGCAGGTGTCCATCCCTTTCTGATGCCCATAGAAAGAGGGCAGATAACTTAGTTTTGAAGAATTAACTTTCCATTTCTAAACTGAGGAGAAAAAAGTCTCAGTGCTTTTTCTCTGTTGGAAAAGGATGCTGAATGATACTGAGGGACTCTCTCAAGGGCTGCGGGGTCCTCCATTTCAGCCACCATTAGAGGTTGGACCCTGAGTGTGGAGGATGTGCAGAGGGCTCTGGCTATGGCACTTACAGGTGGTCAACTTTAAATAGAAATCTAAAAATTAAAATAAATATAGATATAGATATAGATATAGATATAGATATAGATATAGATATAGATATATAGATATAGATAGATATAGATATATATAGATATAGATATAGATATAGATATAGGTGATATAGATATATAAGGACAGTTTGCAACATCTCTCACATACCTGTCAGGTTCCACCCCTCTTGTACTGCAAACAGTGGTAGTTGGTCACTCAGCCATTATCTGTACCTGTTCATCTGGGGACAACTGTACAATACAACATAGGCTGTTCTCTGGGAGATCTCATTACGATCTTAGGAGAAAAGGAGGGAGTCAGACCAATTTTACAGCAGTAGGTTCATGCAGGGGACAAAATGTTTCCTTTATGATTCTACTTCTTTTTACCATACTCATATCTTCCTTGGACATGCTTCTCACCACTGCAGAGTCATCCTGATCTTTTCTTTTAACAAAATTTCCTTCTCCAGTAATGAGTCTAAGATGAGGTTGTGGTTCTCAGACTCTAACAATGTAGTCGTGGCTTGCTCAAATAAGCTCCATCCCATTTTCAGAAAAGATTCCCACAATAACAATCTGATCTTTAATTCACCATTAAATTCATTTTTCAAAACATGGTATCATTGCCCCTAAGGGCTGAGCTCACTTTGTATTAAGTTCCTTACCAGAAAAAGTAATGTAATGCTGCAGGTAGTCTTGCACTCGTTAGTACAACTGTGCTCATTAATATCAATCTGACATTAAACGATTTCCTGTTTTATGTCAATCGAAAATAATTGATTCTGTGTGCTAAGCAGCACTTTATGTCAATTACTGCTCATGTCACCATGCACCATAAGCAGATTTTCAATTAACTCAGCTATATAATTTTCTATTTTCAGGTTGGTTGCAGGGTTTGAATGTGCAACCACTACTGAGTGAAAAACAATACTCTGGGCAGACCTGAACCACAACTCAAAGTTTAGCAGCAACAAAAAGGGCCTGTAAATTGCTAGGTTTATATGCAATTTGAGTAAGTTTATCATCTTATCAGGAGGTTTCAGATACTGCTGAACACAGACATGCAAATAAAGGCAATGTACTTCAACATGTAGCTTATGATGGGGTCTTTTCCCTGCAAGTTCAGCACAAAGCAGTAAAATCCACGTATCAGACATGTGATGTATTTATCAAAGTCTCATCCTTGCATGTTCTCTGTAACACTTGTTCTTGTAATGTGATACTTCAGCAACTCTTTGATGTAAAATCTATCATTCCTGTGCTTTCTCAGACCATTCTACCAGTCACTGTTCCAGAAGCCCATTCCAAACTGACATTGGTTTTTCAAGTTTCCAAAATGTTCTCCAGAGATCTCTCTTCTTTCATACACACTTTTCACCAGTCCTTCTACACAGTGCAATGGCTTTTTGCTCTTGAGGAAGACAATCATCTCTCACTGCATTTTTGCACAGCAGCACGAAGAAGCATCACTCAAACTAGGACCCTTCTCTGACACCATAAGTAAATTCTCATCATTAGGCTGAGGTCCAAATGCAATCTAAACCACCTCTCCTAATCCTTCAACTTCACCATCCATTTTCTTTCAACTCATATTTGCAGATGTTCTTCCTTATTCATAGTATTCCTGTGGTAAAATACAGCATTTTCCTGCTTTTTCCTGTATTTCTGGTGACCTTCTGTAGTCAATCTAAAAGATGCTTGGGCACACTTACAGGCAGTATTTTGCTCTAAGCAATCCTTCAGGGGAACTCATTATTAAAAAAACCAAGCAATCACATAAAACAAACAAAAAACCCAAACCAAAAAAACCACCAAAAATCCAACCAAAATAAACAAACAAAAAGAAACAAAAAACAACCACCTTCCCTGACCAAAAGAAAAAACTCACCAGAATTTGTCTGTCAAAGGAAACTAAGAATTTTAAGGTTCCATGGAATAAAGTTTTTGGGCTTGGGACGCCCTTAGTCCTTGATGTTGGCCTTAAAAGGTTACAACTGAGGAAAGGACTGAAAAAAAAATCTTTAACAGTTACTGTGCTTGACTCACACGCCATTTTAGAAGCAAAGCTGACATGAAGGATCATTGTGATCCACCTTATCAACTCACATCAATGAGTTTAGGCATTTCTGCTTTGCTTTGCTATGAAAAAACTGTAAAGACAGCAAGATGTGTCCTTCCTTGGAGTTTGCACAGCAGAGCTGAAATGCTGGGCACTGCAGACCTCAGACTACCAAAGCAACACTGACAGCAGAAATACATCCCTGCTCCTTGCTACTGTTCATTTGTCAATATTCAGCCATTTACATCTTAATGTAGAATCCAGCTAAGAAATCTGAAACTAGCTTCTACAGGAAAGTGTTGACCATATCCCTTTTCCACGCGCTGTGTCCACTTCTCCATCACTACTGAAAATCATTATTGAATAAAAACATTAAAATTTGCATCAGGATCATGGAAAGAATTCCTTCCCTCCAAATTAATGAAAAAATATGTGTATGCAAACACACACTTTAAAATGAAGGGCATAAAATATCTTCTAGAAATCTGCCTTTGTCAGATTAAAAAATACTTTTATCATATCTCATCAGTCCATTTTTTAATTTGTAGACTTTTCAAGGTGATGTACACTGTAAAAACATTCCAGGGAAGTTAATAAAACTCAGACTTTGTGCTGGCTGAAAATCTGTTCCATATTCCAAGCTTTTTTCCCAGAGGAGCATGGATTTACTTATCTTGAAATTTTGCTTTGCTAACATCAGTAGATGCCATCCTTGTCCATAGCAGAAGTTGTATATTGTCCAAGGGGTTCAACATAAGTAACATCTGACACTACTTATTCTGGAGAAAATGTTTCCTCCTTCCCAGATGTCATGAAACTAGTTCTGTTCTCAAGGTGACAAAATTAGGATTTGGCTTTGGGTAGCAAAGTGACTACCAGCAAAAAGACATTCTGCTTGGCTTCCTACAGGCTTGAGATCTCCTTTCTTCTGTGCATCCATGCCATTTCATCTCCCAAGGAACTCACAGGCAGAGCAAGCACAGCTTGAAAATCTGATGTGCACATTTTCAGTTTTTCAAAACATCTTCTCAAACTTCAAGCTCAAGCAGAGGCGCAGCATTTCTTCTGGGCTTTAATTGAGTTGGGGATTAACCTTCTTTCCCTTTCTCTTTCGCTGTTGTTTTTGTTTGCAGTTACTGTGGTGCTGTTTGCAGCACTGAGACGGCAGCGGAAAAAAGAGCCTTTGATAATTTCCAAAGAAGACATCAGAGACAACATTGTCAGTTATAACGATGAAGGTGGCGGAGAGGAAGACACCCAGGCATTTGATATTGGCACGCTGAGGAATCCCGAAGCCATAGATGATAATAAATTACGCAGAGACATTGTGCCAGAAACGCTTTTTCTGCCGCGGCGGACTGCAGCGGCGCGAGATAACACGGATGTCAGAGATTTCATTAACCAAAGGTTAAAGGAAAATGATACAGATCCAACAGCACCCCCGTATGACTCATTAGCAACCTACGCGTACGAAGGTAATGGTTCTGTGGCCGAGTCCCTCAGCTCCTTGGAGTCAGTGACTACGGACGGAGATCAGGACTACGATTACCTCAGTGACTGGGGACCTCGGTTTAAAAAGCTGGCAGATATGTATGGCTCAATGGACAGTGACAAAGACTCTTAATATGTTGTATTCGGGTTTTTTTTCTCTTTTTTCTGTTCCTCATTCCCAGAAACAGCATTGGGATATGTGAAGTGGCTATTTCTTTCTGTTTCTCCACAGCTGTTTGAAAGGGTTCTCTATTCTACCCATTTGAATTGTCTAATGACTGCAGTCTGTGTGGGTTAGCCATCAGTAAACTTTCTCTAGTATCATTTTATGAGCTTCCAAGAGGCAAAATCCTTATTTTTTGAGTGCATCCAGTTTACCAAGCCAATCTTACAGGCACAGCAGTAGTGGAGGGGAAAAAAAGGATCAGATGGGGAGCAATATTTTTACTTGTTCTGCTTATATTGTAAAGTGGAGTATATTACTGTTTAAGCTCACTTGCTTTTTACTTGTATTCAGACTATTCAGCTCAGACGACTGCTCTGTCGATTGTGTATTGCACATCCCAATGTAATGAGGTACCCTAGTTTACCCTATGTATTATAGTCAAAAGTAGTGGTGATGGAATGAAGGTTTATTATACAAGTAGAGTAAGCTGAGAAAAGAACATCAAGCACGCATTTTACTCATGAGGAGGGTAGAGAGGCTTAATGGTCATTTAAACCTGAGTGTTTCTCTAGAACTCACCATTTCCCCATTGCACTGAATCATACTAACACACACATATATATAGTTCATTGACTGCTCTGTATATATTCTTTGGACCTAGCATTGCTGGAGAGATGTGTGTGTGTGCACGTGTGTGTGGTCAGTAGCCCCAATATATAATTCTTAGATGGTTTCCTCATTCTAACCCAGGCTTGCTTTGTGATACAGGGAAGTCATCCAATCCAGCTCCAGATTAGGTCGTGACTTGGAGGAAGGAACAGATCATAACTGGGCTTTTGCTTGCACTTCCTCAGTCAGCCTCCACCTGCACATCAGTTCAGTGATGGCCGCTGTCCTGGAGACATTGTAGTCAGGATGTTCATACCCAGCTACTCCTGCCTGTTCTCATGTGCAGGTGGGGAGGAGTGACCTCAAGGTGACTGCAACCCTCTGAGGCAGAAGGAGCAACTGCAGAGGAGGAAAGTGCTTTTTTTTTGGCCTGACTTTCTCTGCCTGGATGTCCGGGGTGGATTCCTGACTGACTCTCTGCCCAGTTTTGCTATCTGTAAAATGGGGAAATAATGCCTACCTCATCAGGATGTTGCAAGAACTATGTAAGACATTTGGAAAATGCTTTAGAAATTGAAAACACTAGCATTCTGCCAGAGGAAGTAACTTTTCATGCTTTTGGGTAGTTGTTTCTTTTTTTTTTCTCTAGACTCAAGCCCTGAACAAACAAATAATGATCATTCCAGTGGCCTGAAAAGGAGGTTTATAATTATAACTCATTTTTTAAAATAAACTACTCAGTAAGGGTTGATAAAGACTTCAATGGAAGGTAAAATTGTAACCACAGTTTTCTCTGTGTTTATCTGGTTTGCCAAGCTGTTATTTTTGTCCTGGTGTGGAGGGGGGTATGTTGCCATAATCTTGGGCCAAAACAGTTTTCTTTATAGCTTGCACACCACACAGTATTTCAGTTGGTTTTTCAAACATGTAGTGGCTGCTCTTCCAACCCAGACATCTAGGAGAGGCTCTCTGGAGAAAACCCTAAGGGTCTGCCATGGGCATATCCCATTCCAGGAGTTAAACGCCACTCTGTGTCCCAAAGTAGGGACCCAGCCCATAGCACTGTGCCAAGGAAAGAAATAATTACTATTTTTAAAATACCTCGTGTAACTATTCTAATTTATTTCATGAAACAATATTTAATACCAGAATTGCAGGAATGCATCTATTTTCCTCCTCCCCCAAATTTTAAGTGAATAAATTTGAAAACTAAACAGCTTCAATTTACCTCAGAAATAAAGAGAGATGAGAAAAAATGTTAATAAACAGAAAACTAAGGGCAATTAAAAATTAATCCCTGGAATTCATTATTCCTTGTGAGTTAAAGAGAGCAGTAAGAGTCCCAAGTATAAGACTTTTACAACCACAATACCAGAATTTTAGATTTTGTGGACCAGCTCAGAGTGAAGAGGATGAGCCAGCCATGCTGTGGCCCTGGCTGGGCAGGAAAGGACTCATTGAGCACTGCACACCTGTAGGTGTAGGGCTCAGCAGATAATGGCTGGCAGATGCCCAGCACTATAGATTGGATGCTTTCAGAGCAGAGGGGCCCAGAGTTTCCAAGGGTCCAGAGCCTTAGGCCTCCCTGGTGAAAGCCTCTCAGAGTGTTTATGTCCAAAAGAATATGGTTCCCTACTCCATCACTTGGTGAGGTGCTGAGCTGCTGCACCCATCATAATGGCAATGGCATGGCTAGAGCCTTATTTTGTCCTCTTCAGGGCCCCTAAGTAATTTAAGATGCTACAAGCCTAGCTCTTCATGACTTCCTTGAAATTGGAACTTCTAGGAAGCAATCTGTCCAAAAGCTGGCTCTGGCAGACAGGAGAGACCTTATGGATTTCAGACATGTGGAGGAGCAGCAGATGCTCAGCACCACCTGCCCCAGGTCCCTCACCTTGGGGTGCTCTCCTCACACAGTGTCAGTGGGGCCAGCACATCCCTCCAGGGGCTCTGCCCAGGGGCTTCCTAACACATCGCTCTCTCTCCCTTCACTCTGGGGTTGCCTCCAGCAAATATCCCCAAGCTCAGAATCCAGCTGGATGCCCATAGTGAGCCAGTGAACTGTCCCCTCCCTTCCTTAAGCCTCAAGGAAACAGATTGGTGTGTGGAGGGGATGGCAGGGCTGGCTGGGATATTGTCCAGCCCTGCAAGCCACCTCCAGCTTAGTGGGAAGAGAGAGTTGGTGGCACTTGGCTGAAGACAGCCCCGGTGCCCTGAAGGGGCTGGGCCACTCTGCAAGTCAGCAGCCTGCATTAGTCACTTCTTGGGTGGGATAATGAGACAGCAGGACCAGTGAACTCCTTGTAACTATTTTCCTATGTTTGTACAGTGATTTAGTGATTGTTAGTAGCAGTCCAAGCGCAAGTTTTAGGTTGATTTGGTTTTTTTTTTTTCCTTTTAATTCAAAGCCGGTTTTATCTTGTCCATTGAGTGACACAGTAAATAATAGAGAGTGGCTACTCGTGCCTGTTATGTAAATATATTATATATATAAAATTATGTTATGTCACCACAAATATGGTGCCTGAATAGCAAATGCATTCTTCTAAGAAAATTTGAGGAAAACTTGCATCCAAATTATTATTTATGCATCTAGGTTTTAAGGTCTATTTTTTTTCCTGCAAATTAAACAGATTTAGCATCTCTCACACAGCAAGGAGAGTTCAGTTCTTTCTTTTCTTCTTGCTTGGCAGTACCACAAAGTGCAATTTATAAAATCAGTACTGCATTCTAAATATTGAAAGTGCCATATTGCAGTGAATACAAACCTTTGCAGTAGTATTTCTTTGCACTTTGTTGCATGGTGGTGTGCTAGATGATAGAAATGAGTATTTAACAATGCTTTCACACAGTGCTACAGTTGCCATTTGTAGATAACCAGTTGTTGGACTATGGGCTATGAAGTGGCTTTCAAGGCTGTTTTAAGCCTGCTCTTCTTACAATCACACCTACTTCAGAAGAAGAAATATTATTAGGCAGTTTAGCTAAGCCAGGTAGATAGATAAAAATGCAGTTGGCTTTTAATTTGGGAAAGCATCTGACCTAACAGGAAATATATTAAAAGATGCCAAGGAATTCAGTGGAGTCAACGTGAAACAGGGACCTGGTAGGCTATACCAGCCATGCTACTGCAGAACAATAACATCTCTACACTTTAAATAGAATAAGGTTTCTACAGTAACTATTTCATCTCAACTCCCAAGAGAGTCACTTTACCCCAGAAAACTGGTGGGGAGTTGTTTTTGTTTTGTGTTTGCTGGGGTGGTTTTTACCCCAGGAGAACTACTTAAGGTTAAACCCAATTCTATCCCACAGCAGCACCAGTATAGGGAGACACAGCAGCCTGTGCCTCCAGTGCAGCTGTTTCAGGACATCTCTCTGTGCTTGGAAGAGAGCTGAAGCAAAGACTCGCAGAGAGCTCTGCACAAGACTCTACCAGCAGTATCACAGGTCTGAGATGTGTTCTCAAACCTGACAGAGAAGGAATTGTGTCAAACCATGAGAAAACCAAATTGTATGTATTTTTCAATTATATCTGTTAAAAATCTGCTGGAAAAGATAGGTAGTAGAAGAATATGTCACCTTTATACCAACAGAAATGTTTTCTAAATTTTTCCTAAGAAACATATTTGTCTGGTCTTGCTTCCAGTGTTTCTTTACTGTTAAATGTGAATGGAAGAGGCAACCTTCAAATAATCCACTTTAGGAAGTAGTAGTCTACATTACAAGTTACAGCTTTTCCATTTCTCTGTTATGAAAATAAACAAAAAAAAAAATCCCACAAAACCAAGAGAATGAATATCTGCAGTACCATAAAATCCAGAACAGTCATAGCGAAGTATAGCAGAGAGAAATGGCTTTAAAAATGTATGTCTACACATGTTTGAAAACCAGAATTATGCATTTTGAGCAGGACCAGCAGTGGACTTCTAACACTTTCAGGTTTCCTGACACACCAGAGAGAGATCTGCATGGATAGGGAGAAAGACATCTCTTTTACACCAAGCAACGTAAATCCAGGCTGTTTCCATCCAGGCTGTAGATCTCTTGGAAAGAAAGGCACATGTTAAATTTCTGCAGCAGAACTATCTTCATGGTCTTCTGCAGGGTGATTCCTGAGAGTGGTTTTGAGCAGGTAACTCTCTGCAAACACCACTGTGTTAGTTCTACCTGCCACCATCTGTTAGAAAGGTCTCTCCATGTTTCCTTTGGCTATGAGAAGCATTGAAGTGTTTCAGAAGACCACTGTCCCAAATGGATGCTGCCATCCTCCTGCCCATTTGCATTTCAATTAACGCTGGAGTCTGAGCTGCCTCATCAAATGAGAGCTGACAAAGTAACAGTCATTATGCTGCTTCCAGTGAGTATGAAACGTCATAAGCTGTGAAAGGCAGGATTTTTCCAACCCATCTACACCTCTGAAACAGCAGCCTCATCCAATAAATGTCAAAGCCACAATATTTTTTGCTTTCAGTTCAGTCTTTAGAAAGAGTTCTTTTCTCAGAGATTGTTTCTGTACTTAAAGAGGAACAAAAGCATGTTTGATGTCCACAG